AGAACTAGTCAGAAAGGAATGGTCGTTTTCCAAATGGGTGCCTAAGACTTTAGGGCACGGTAGCGGTAGCCCACACCGACGAAGGAGTTTTTCTTTGGGAACCCTAACCGGAGCCTTTGACTCAAACGTCTGACCCACAAGGCGTAAATCTAACGCGGCAGAGTGAACGAAGCACCCGTGTGGGAGCTTCTGGAGACCTGTCGCACACCACGTCAAGGTGCAGTCTCGTCGTGATGGCATACGCATGATGGTAACATGGGTCAGGTGCGCAAGCTGACTTCTCGCTGATCAACTAATCACACCATGTTGCACCTGTTTGTGTTTGTTCACACACGTTCAGACCAAGTGAACCATATAATTCCATTTGACTATCATCCTAGCACAGTCCTTTGCAAACGCGAAACTGTATAGGCCTTAATATGAATTCATTGAAAACACCACAGCCTTGATTTGGCTTTTCAATTCAAACGGTAGGTTTGTTTCGTAGCCGAATTGTTTTTCTTTTGGTTGAAATACTAACTCGAATGACCGCGAAAAGTATGTTGGTCATCGTTTGCGATATAACACGGGCGCAGATACCGAGCACTTAGACAGAAGAATGGAAAATGCTTGTCCAACCTACTTGCCAACCATTTGATGAGTCAATTGTCAATGATCAGTCGCCTCATGTAGATGCACATCTAATGAGGTGCGATTCCGTGAATAGAACACACAAAAAAGATCGCGGGAATGGGAATCGGTGTTTTCCCTACCGTTCGGGGTTGTTTCATTACGTGATCACTCGGTTCGGAGGGATGGGCCAACACATAATGTGCTACTTTCGTCTGGGTCTAAACTTCCACCTTTTGTCCACTCAAATGCAGCCTGCAACAAAGCAGAAGTGTTCTAGACAAGAATGTGATTCATGTCAACGATTCGATATACTCGCTGAAAACTGTTTTGTTCGGGCACATCCAATCAGAGCAAGGATAACACAACTCAGGTGAACAGTCATAACTTATCGACAGTCAAGAAGGTTGACAACGATCCAGTTAACCAATAATTGTGTAACTGCATTACCACGCCTTCCCTCTTTTCCATAAATAATTTAGTTTACTTTACTACAGCTGGCTCCTTGAAAGGATAAACCGCCTCCAGACATGATCATAATCACGATCATGAAGTTACTTGGGAGTTTAGTACGAGAGACGTCCCCAGCGTCACTTGGCGTTTCTTATTTTGAGGGCGCATCTCTAACCTTTACACTGTAAGGCTGCAGAAAGTAATCCCTCGCCTCGGAAGTGAGGGGGTCAATGACTTTAGTTTTGAAAGGCCAGTCACATCGACCTTTGTCACGATATCGTCAGTGGGCTTATGTGGTATTTAAGCAGGAGCCAGGTGACCAACCTGAAACCCATTACACCCTGGTAGTGCTACCGCTGTTTGTTCGCCACTACTTATTTATTGTGATATGCCACAATTTATTCACAGCTAACCCGGCGACGCGCCTGGTAGCATTCAGCTCTGCTTAGCCCGACGGTATCCATAAATTAGCATGCCTTTTGGACCACAAATGAATTACTACATGCTTCAAGCTATGTTCCATTTCACTACATGTGGAATCTCTATCCGGAAGAGAAGACGGTCATCTGAGGACTCAGAATTGAGTATAATCCATGCGGTTGAAGCGGTTCATACAATGGATGTTATTTCATGATTTTTTGGTTGAACGTTATCAAAACATAACATGATAGTACGAGAGATGCATGTAACATTGGAGGTTGCTGTTTAAGCAAGTAGTCTGGTTCAATACCAAGCCTAACCTATCGGAGCCTTATTCGGTTCGCCACTCTAAGTCCCGGGGCTTAGGTTGTCGGTTTCCATCACTGAACAACAGGTCTTCGTGACTATGGGGTTCACCCCATCTGCTGTTCAACACACACACTGGTGTGTAATAAAAAAGTGGACTCAGATATATGAGGTTTGTTTTCGCGCTAAGCACTCAAACATATACTTGTACAATTTCTGAGTAACAAACTTCCCGTGGGTTCATCTCTTTCGGAGTGCGTGTCAGGTAGGTGGAATACGACAGCAATAATGAGCTTATTATAGGGCGAGCAGCGAAGACCATATATTAGTGCGATCCTTGAAGTAATACTATTATTGGGGAAATCTTTTTCAATCCTGTTTATTCGATATAAAATAAAAGTAGGCGGAGGGGGGGAATGATCAAGGAAAAACGCACTGCGACCACAACTATATCCAATGAGCGTCCGCGACCGCTTGTATTTAGTGACCCTATACTCAACACTCAAGGTCAATCACCAACCGGATATGTTTGTGGTAGTGTTGTGAGGTCCTGATCTCATTTGCCCGTAGTATGCAAGACAATGCAGTTGGCGGTTTCCTTCAACGATCGAAAATGAACATGACAACTGAGGGCGAATTGCTGTGCCCCAAAAAATAACTACGGATTATTCCATTCATTACCCTATGTGCTACCGCGAATAGTGATGACACGAGATACCTTGTTATATGTATGCAAAAACTACTGATATCCTAACTGTTATCTGCAATAAAGGACTATCCTCGATCAGGCACCGCCTTGTGTAATTATAACAGCAGTATAAGACCCTCGCTTTTAATCGGAGTCCGCAGTATAACAGGTAGAAACCAACTGATCCGACACTATTTACTCCCGTACCATTGAAAAATGAATAACCAGAAAAACTAGATAGAGAGGGAAAGGCTATTTTGAATTATGATGAAAGTCGCAGTAATCAAAAGCAAAAAAAACTATCACAATACAAAGCGAATATGCGATTACCGTTTGCAAGTAATAACGTAACACCAGGATTAAAGGCGCAACTGGGTCGACAAATAATTTTCCCGGGAATTCACACACGAATGCGAGACTCAGTTCTTCACAAAGAAACGAACGTATATTCTCCAGGGAATGGTTTTAAAGATATTAATCAGTTAGACTAATGTGTACAAGATTCAGTCATACAGATTAGAATACGCGTAACCAATATTTTTTTTCGTAAGACTGTCAGAAAGTAATCATCAAACACAGTAGACGACATTTGTCGCATGAAAGACTGACTCCCTCAGAGCACTACTCATCACTACTCCACTTCCTTAACGAGACGTTGAGCTTCTTCGTACCTTTGGGCCAGCTCCATCAAGAGAAATGATCGAACAGATCGTTCTTCGGTCCTCGCTATCTCTTTTCTAATTTGAAGAAAAGCACGTGATATTTGACCCACGATATCCTTCGAGTTTCCGGATTTAGGTATGGCAGACAGGTGATACTCGAACAGACGATCCGCATATTCAAGCCAAACACAATGTTGACATCCAGTTCCGCAACAAAGACCCGGTTCTGGTGGATCCGGAGTCCGATCCGTATAGTGACGGCCGGTTTGAGCACAAGCCTCGGTGGTGTCCAGCAAGGCCTTAAGCCGCCGCGATAGAGTGGAACGGGAACAACGAGTGAACAACTGACCAATTGAAAAGAAAATCACTGAGAAGGATAGAAATTCTGAAGGTGTTTTGAATGGATAAAACTGTCTATCAGGTTGTAAAATAGTGAGGATAGACGAATGGACTAAGATGGTGAAATGAATGAACAGCGATTGAGACTAGACTGTTCGAAGAGATGAAATCTATGGTTAGATCTTCGAGAGGCCGATGACAGCCGATCGAGTTCTACTGGGTGATAGTGGCCCAGTGGTTTAGTCGTTGTCACTGACGTGCTCTGGACCCTATGATCTGAGGTTCAAACCCCACCAACGCGGGGTGGTTTTGTTGTCGTTTGGTTCAATACCACGCCTATCTTACTGGATCCTTATGTGGTTCGACACTCCAAGTCCCAGGGTTCAGACTGCTGACTTCTACCACTGGCGACGGATTATCCAGGGTAATATAGCGAAAACTTAATCAAGTCATTTGATTAAGCAATGCTGGCGGTGTTGACATCATCAAACTGGTGCATTATCCTCACGGTGCCCGCGACGTAGACCAACTAACTGCCCATACCAATTACACAAGGACATTTAATTTGTATACACTGAAAACCTGGCATCGGTTCGTGAAGTTCCCTTCATCGCATCTTACCGTGCGATGATAATGATTGATGAGGGTGTGTAGCAGAGGTAGAGAACGATTCAACTGTGACATACTGCGCATCAGTTACGATTTATGCCGCTTCGTGCGTGCGCATACCAGAACAAAATACCATAAAACAAATAAAAAACAGCACGCTGAAGAGCTTACTGAGATCGTTCGAAAAATCCACGCGAAGTAGGTAAGCTCAAACAGCGGACGAACGAACAGTTTCGGGGGAAAAACAAACCCAGACAATTAGGTTTTGATTAGTCCATTCAACTTATACAGGCACCTGGCATTGTTGGTCTTTGCTGTGGACTTCACTCCTTGGGAGATCGTTGATTCCCCAACAGTAAGATGCATTTAAACGCGATGGAAATGTTATTATAAGCATTGCCATCGAAGAAAAAACAAGCTAAAACAGACTAATACATTGTCAATGTGTTCCAACATTCCGGATTAGCATTGAACACGGCTCATCAATTTGTCATGATCAGTTTCAATGCATTATTTCTCACAGCACCTTTTTATACAATATAAGAATGGCGCATATGATAGAGATGAACTTCGTCATCATGAAGACTACTGTAAATTGAGAATGGGTGCATTCGTTCTGGTACAATTATTTGATTCTGCGCTTGAATAAAGAAAGAGGAATGAAAGACAAAATGAAGAAGTGGTTCTCGCATTTAGGGGATCCAAAATAAAATTAGTATTTAACAGCCACCGTTCGATAGGCTTTTGAGTCACTTTTGCAAGTGAGTTTCAAGCACTGTAGAGCAAACCCAGTTCTTATGAAGATAGAGGTGACTGGAAGTTGATGGTACGGCCAAACGAAACGGTTAGAGGATGGATTGGCGAGAAGACCGGTGGATCCAGGCCTAAATGCAATCCTCAGAAGAAACCGCGCCCCAGATATGGCAGCAACATCCCATATTGGGACGAATAAGAGCCCTGTAAAGGACGAGAAGTTGAGACGAGGTGATATATCGGTTCGCAAGACAAATGTAAAGAAGATTTCTAGACGGAGGCGATGCACATTCAATAAAATGAGGCGAAAGAGTGAAAAAGAAAAAAACTGGACGATAAGTGAAACTGTAGATGTGAAAAGAAATAATGAGGATACGAAGAGAATAGCTCACGATACCCCAGATTTATGGAGCAAATGACCACTGACATATGATATTCCACTCGATGAGCACATTGTCTGATGATCAGTTTGATGCATATCCACGGTCAAGGCAAAGGAGCAGTTTCCGATTTATTGAGTGACCGTGACTAGACTAAATGTTAGAATCTGTTTATAGTTTGGCCTAAAAAACAGGACATTATGGTTAGAGTGATCTAAAGGAAACGATGTTCTTCTCGCTATTCGTAAAGAATTACTAGTAAATTTGAATTCCAGTATTGATGAGTGTGCTGAAAAATTCTAGTAGGTTTGTATAATTTTAATCCAGATTGAACACAAAACCCAAGACATTAAGACAGGTTCAAATTGATGCGTGCACAATTTTCAAATACTGGTTTGTGTTCTGTGCATATCGCGTATTGATATACCAGATCGCACACCATTTTATGAAATTGAGCATTAACAGAAAAAGCAAGTATTATTTGGAAAACGTAAAATTACTACAAAGCCCGGAAAAAGTAAGAGGAACACAGAACTCCATGCTGAAAGGTGGTCGCTGTCCATGTACTCAAAAAGGAACACTATGATAGTTAGAAAAATGTGCACTGTGCAAATCAAAGGACCGATTTGGGAAAGTACTTTCCATCTGTATTTTTTATAACAAAAATTTAGACATGTCCCGAAATCCGCAGACACGCAAGCTTTAGCAGCACTCATAGTTTTCAGAGTACTATTTATAAGTTCAAAACCAAGCCAGGTCATACAATAGTAATGGTTGACGTGTGGTGATACTTTGATGTTTTGCAAAGGAAATACGCTTTGTCAGTAACGTAATTCGTCTTGAGTGTAAGCGAGTGCGGTAAACACGTATTGGACATGATCAGAACATTTTACTAATGGGATTGGGTTTATTTGGATTTTATCCGGTACTCCCGACATGAGACCGTTGTGCCCGAATTAAGATTGCAGTGCTATCAATCCAATTTCCAGAGACTGAAAATATCAAAACTAGAGTGAAAGCACATATTCTGATGACACAAGTTAATCCACGGCATCGTTTTGATGAAAAAAATGAAGAGAGGTTTCCACACAGTCATAAATAACCTTTATGACACTATTCAACGGCGGCAGTAAGTGAGTGGCGAATGATATTTAACAATCACTCAGAAAAATCAGGTTTAAGCGGATTCAGGTTACTCGGTCCGACCTCGGTAAGTCAGGCAACGCAACTATGTTGACACACACACATAGCGGACATAGCTAACAATTATTACCATATCATCAGATCTGACCTTCGTTTGTCCAGATTGAGCCAAGCAAACGAAGGTAAGCTCTTTAAAATGAATCGTAGGAATGAGCAACCCTAATCATAAAGACTTAGCGTCATGGGAACTGAACCCATATAAGTCGCAGCACCAAGCTACGTAACACCGTCAACGGGGTGAACGTGGGTTTGAGCTGGAGCACGAACTGAAGTTATCGATCATCGTAAGCTCCGATTAGTATGGTGTTCAACAGAGATGACCAATCCACCTCTGTCGCTCGGAGCAATAATGATAACCAGGCAAAGCGCCTTGGAGTACGTTCGCAAAAGACGCTATTGTCCCTGTGAAGGAGTAGTGTAACGCCCAGGGGAAATCATTCAAATCAGACGCACACAGATAAGGATCAACAAATAACCATAAAAAATTGGATGAATATAGTCAGCAGATCAAATGCTGTTTTGCAAACATAAGAGGAATGCTTGCATTACACCATTACACTCGGTAAGTTAAACTCTAGTATTTTCTCACTAATCCCGAGCAGACTCGGTGCCCAATAGGTTATGTAATAAAAACCCAGGAGAGATTACGGTGTTGACCAACTAGTGAGCGAATATAAACGTGTTGCGAGCTCAGACGTTTCTGGGAAACCGTTGTGTTTATTGCCGAACCTCTTAGATGTAACCGTTCCAAGAGTTGCGTATTTCATAAAAGTCACATAGAGGGTACTGAACTGCAAATACCCTATCGACCGCCTGTCGTAGTACACTGTTCTCAATTTGTGATGAAGCTGGCAGACACATGTTGCTTTCTGCGAGCTCTGAGCAGGAGCGTACAGGAACCGATTGAGTGCGAACACAGTATGATATTACGGTGATACTGTAAACTAAGCATCTACCTCAGTGTTGTGGCTCGATAAGATTGACACGTCTTAACTCCATACTCACCGAATAGGCCAGTAGATGTTTGGTGATTTTTGTGCGCCTTCGTTTGTTCGCAAAGTGTGACAGTTATAATTGAACGTGGACAATCGTAGAACACTGCTCACATACACACAATCGAGTGATGCATTCCTAGCCCTTTCCGACCAGCAATCACTGAATCACACTGGTTATAAAAATCTGGTCAGCGACGGTGTGTGCCGGTTCGCAGACACACACGCCATCCATACGAGATGAGTCCGGAGTTCAACGTCCAGATGGAACGATGAATTGGCATCGCTGATGAGCTCTAATGAGACTGAAATTCAAAGTTAGTTTCCCGATGGTACAGTTGACTAGATGAACTGATGATTGTGCCTGAAGGTGAAGTCGGGGGATGGTCAATTCAAATCAATATCACAATCACGTTAATTTAATATAGTATCATCCATTTTCCAAGTGATCTCTCCGCACACAGAACGTTTAGTCAATTTTAAAAGGTGCTCCATCGAAACAACTGAAAACGCATCGAAAATGGGCTTCTTGTTTCTCAGCTTGTGTTCTTACAATCGACCGATCGATCGGGAATTTTCTAACAGCTAATAGCGTCAAATTAGTTTGTGAAAACTGACGCATGACAACAGACACCAGAACACAATGAATGGTAATTTTTATCACATGAGGTATTGCATGGGTGAAAAACGAGTCACATTGCTTGTGTTGAACGTCGAATTCCGAATTCGATCACATGAGCTGTATGCGCCCGCGCTTGCTGGAAGACATGACCTGAGACTGGTGATTAGCACAATGCGTAGGAGAGCGGTAATTATAAATTAGGGGAGGGGCGCAATACACATGCAACTCTGATCGGAGGAGAACAAACTGGACACCAGCGGAAGAAGAAGAAACAAGCATGGATTGAAATCACAAGGCAAAAGCACCATTTGTTTTTATGGAGTGCAACGACCATTTCAGATTAGAGAAAAAAACACTATAATTGAGAAGGCGGTGGTTTTGAACATGGCCAAAAGAGAACAACTAAATGATGCGTATCGTATTTGCATTTGGTATGCCATATACAAAGTTTGAGGGAGAAAAAAATTACCAAAAGGAAAGAATTCTCCGCTGATAATCATGTGTTTATATGTCAACCGGGGGAAGGGTTATATCTGAACGAGATCGCCATTTCTGATGCAGAGTTTTTAAGTGAGCATAAGTCTCTTCGGTTATATTTAATTCGGGTCGAACTGGACGGAGTATCTGAGTAAACAAAGTACGAAAACATTCAAAACGTGTCGAAGCTTTTTCCTTTTCGTCACTCGATTCAGTATTTGATATGTGTGTATCTCCCGCAGACTGTACAACAGATTCGGGGTCGGAAACGTGGGCTGATTTCAGGCAAGACAGACCGGACAAGCAGAGATATGTGTGTAACGGGTCTGGAATGTATTGGAAAAAAGCGGTGCATTAGTCCAAATAATCATAACTGATTAAAAAGTCAATAAAAACTGCAAAACAGAAGAAGGACGCGTTTACATGTCGCCGATTAAATCAATAGCATAGCCACCATGTAAAACCGGTAAACAACATGATTCGTGCTTTTTAGCTGGCTACACCCAAATAGTAAGTATGGATTCAGTTTATTGCTGGTATTGTACTAAATCAGTCGCATTGTCACCGTACAGCGAAATCAAGCTTCACTGATTGCAATCAAACTCGTAGCACATGCACAGTTAGTGAGAATATGTACGATCAAAAAGGATTAGGCTTAACTTTGCACGTTGAAGGTGCAAAGTGCATGCCGAAAGCTGTAACAGTACTTGTTAGTTTATCAAGTACATCATCATGTTTTCGCAATTGATTGGACAGCTATCGCCAGTTCAAGCAGGGTGGCCCCCAGGAGAAAAAATGTTGTCCCTTTCACGTTCCTCCTGTCTCAATGGACACACAAATCTAACGACCGACCCCAAACTGCTGAGCCGAAACCCGACGGTTTTGCATCATACGTCTATAGAAGCTCTCGTACGAGTGCTTCGGTCACGATCCCACGTTGGATCTACGCATCATCGCCTTGTGGGTCACTTAAAGGTTCCGGTTAGGATTCCCAAAGAAAAAAACTTTCATCCGTGTGGGCTACCACAAAGTATGTTGTGCCCCAACGTGCTGGGCAACAATTTGGAAAAACTTTTCTCCCCCGTTCAGTTCATCCTCTTGCCCACAAATCATGTAAGATGCCTACTATTTCTGCCACTCATTGGATATTACTGTGTTTGACTGGTAAGGTCTACTAATCAGAAGCTACTGGATTGATGAAAACAAAGTATCCTTTTCTCTCACCCGCACACCATCTCCACACACTCACTCAGATCGGTTAACAAGATGCCCTGGCATTGAAACTTTCAATTTTGACCTGTNGACCTGTGCTTTGTCACGCATACAAGAAAGCACTTCAACTATAACTGCATCCCTCAGACCCAACCTCATCTTCAGGCCCCAATCTTCGAGTGTCAGGCAATTCAGCACCCAACGCCTGCAGCATTTCTGGTGTCGGGATTGCGATAAGTGAAAAGGTGAGCGCTCGCTTCTTGACAGGATTAGCCGACTTTGCGCTGTATGTCACGACGAGTCAGCAGGGGCCAACAGCTACAGAACGAAGGTTTCAGTGCTTATTCGTCATGTCTGAGTGCACATCGATTGATGGCACTGCGCGATAAAAGAAGAACGAATTCTACAAGGACCTTCCTCAATTATTCCAAAGTGTTTGCTCAACGAATATTATAGTTATCGGGCCAGAGAACCGAGTGGACAGCGGAGACCGTCTACTTGCCCAGATCACGGATTGTTGCTATCCAGCACAAACTTTCCCTGAGAGGAATGTCACTGCCTCAAGTGGAAACTCCTTACTCGGAGAACTCAAATCGACCACATTGTCATCAGCTACCAATGGTAGGCATCCATTCAACACTGTCGCCCTCATTCTAACACCCCTGGACATGAATCACGCTCTGTTACAAGCTCCTGGTAAACAACCGCAACAAAGCCGATGGAAACAGATGACCACAATACAATGAAAGAAGTAGTTGCAAATCAGCGTCTGAAGCGGATCTCTCTAATCACTTCTCAAGGTGACTAGTCAAGAAAAGACCCAATGAACAATGGACGTTAATTAAGGAAGCTATTTAACAGTCAATCAAAACAACGGCGGATTCCAATGCACGATCAAAGCAAAAATGATGGACATCCTCACTCTAGATTGCCCTGTTGGACACTCGCAAAGCCATTCTTCCTGCAGCCAAATAACGAAAGCGTAAAGAAAAGAAGAAAGTTGCGGTTATTGGAAACAGTCTCAATCTCTTCCGTCTAGTAAGGAGCATGGGCACAAGGAAAGTAGGTGAGGCAATTAAAGAGTGCGACGGTACACTGATTTATCTTTAGTAACGCTGTCTTGAGCGATGGGCAGAACATTGTGAGGAACAGTTCAACCGGCCGCCGTCAAGATTCGAACTCCTAAATCACACTGCAACTGTGCAAATACTACCAGTTGATATCAGCCCCCTATCTGAAATAAAGGTTGCCCGGGGTAAGGTTAGCTCAAAAAGTATAAATAAACCCTGCAGACCGGATAGGCTGTCCATATCGACTTTTTCAAGTCGAATCAACTCAAGTCAAGAAACGCTTTATGCACCAATATAGTAAATTTTCAGCAACTTACGAACTTGTATAGTGGATATATAAAAGCTGCTGTTAAAGAAAAAGTTACTGCAAGAGTGTTTCCCTGGGGTGGCTAACAGTTGTCTTATAATCAACCAAGAGCCGAGCAAGGTATTGAATTACACTGTCTCTGCATGTGGAAGTACGCGCAGGAAGGGGCTGAAATTTGGAGCGAGTTCGGGTATTTAATATGGCTTTCATGATTTTGCGATCATCTGTTATTCCGTCAATTAACTTATCATAATCGTCTAACTCCTCGGAAATTTTAACCGAAGGACATGAATTCAGCCTTGATCTTGGAGTTGGCTAAACTCCTGGGCTCATTATGAGGAGAGAACAAGTTCTAACTGAATGGTGAGTGAGCCGGCCGTCCTGCCGATCTACAAGAAAGGCGACCATAGAGGAATCAGTGTGGGCAACATTGTCTTTAAACTTCTTGCTAACATCATACTCGATCGATTGTCTGTCGCACGTGAATGATGCACGCGTTAGAACCGGAGTGGCTCCAAATCTGGTCGAGATTGTATCCACCACACATTTACTCTTCGCCAAATTGTGGAACACAGACATTTCTTTCGTACACCCAACATATGCATGCCGATGTTGATGGGTCCCTCAAACTACTACCATTCCACATTACATCTAACATTTCTATCTTCCTAGATTTGAAAACGGTCTTCGACTTAATCGACCGCTCTAAATTCCGGCACTGCCTCTCCATGAACGGTTTGACCAATAATTTCAATTCAATATTACGATCCTTTTTTACCGATAGCCCGGGCTCACGGCACTTTTTAGCTCCAGTTCAACATGGAAAACGGTGTTCGTCAGGGTTGTTTCTCGCTCTGTTTCTCATTAATTTTGTTATAGGTTTGATTCAGGAACCAAACGTGTCCTCGTGCGAGGATAGTGAAATCGATTTGCTACCAAGTGCCAAACTGTTTGATCTGAAGTATGTAGACGATATTGTACTGTTACACGAAGATCTGGGTAAGTTGAAAGCTTTACTGGATCGTTTGAGTGATAGTTTAGCCATGTTCGGTATGTGTTTTGCACCTTCAAAGTGTAAAATGTTGCTACGGATTGAGTTGATCCAGCTCGCAACCTCGCAAAAACCGCTAAGTTAGAGAGAGCAGACTAATTCTACTTTTTACGGATGAAGTTTTGGCACGCATGCAGAAGGCTTGATTAACAATTGCTAATTTAATACATCTGGTGCCATCATGATATTCGACTATCCGTATAGGGTCAAGGGTGTATTGCAGCAGTTTCGTCAGCGCTCAGAAACGATGCTGAGATTTGGCCATTGTGAGAAAAGGAAAAAAGAGACTGTCAGTGTCCGAACACCAGCGCGAACGCCGCATCTCACGAGTCCGGTGGGGAAACTGAATAAACATAACTAAAGCTAGGTACCGAATTTTAGGAAATACCGGTGGTCCACAATAGTAAGTAGTCGACTTATATAGATTAAGTTGGTTGGGACATGTGTTCACGGAATAGATAAAAATGGCGTGCGGTGTTCGCCGAAGCGGAAATCGGGTGAGAAAAGTCAAGAGTGGTGAAACTAGAACCTAGCATAAGGGAATTAAAACCCTGACCAAGAGACTTGCTCACATAGTTCACGTTAGATTTCCCGGATGGGGACCACGGGATCACTGTAACCAAGGCCTAGAGACACTGAGCGATATGACTAAGTGTCGTAAATAGTGGCGCTTGTGCATCTCAATTTCGCTACAACCTTAGTCCATATGAACTCTCGAGTTGCATATAGACTCTGCTTTAAAAATTCCAATCTCCCTTCCGTTATTTTATCCTAATGTGGGCAGCCAACAGACAGCAACTAAAATCATTGCACGCAAGAGCATGGTTAATGGTTGTACAAGCTGACAAATACTCATGCCCAGGCTCCGCTGAATGAACTTCTATCTCCATTACACGTACTCACCTCTATCGATTTCACTTCCATTGATTGGCCTTCTGACTACCCTTAGGTTTTCGGACTATGACTACCATTTGTCCTGATTTACGGTTTCGCTTAGCCACCTGACCTTATATCGATTCCATGTGCATGGCCATCTGACCCTTGAATTCGAATTGTACACTTTCCTTATTATGTGGTATCGAACCCGTAGTCTCAATCTGCTGTAGTCACTTTGGTGTTTAATCATTCCGGACATTCTTGTTGTATTTTCCACCCGTAAAAGGAAATGTCTACCACGCCACCATATACATATATATATCTATATATATGATAATAAGTAGGTCACGCTTGTTGCGGTTGGTAGCATCTAACCCACTTACAAAAACATCGAATCATAGCACTGATTCTTCATTGGACTGGCTCTGAAAGAGCTGTCTATCCAATGGTTACCCGGTGTTGCAAACAAGGTTATTGTGACGAATATATATATATATATATATATATATATATATTTATATTTATATATATTGTATAATACTAGTCTTTACAGATACAGCGCCAAACATAACTGCTGATTTTAGGTTGGGTTTTTTCACAATAACTGATCTGTTTGTGTTTTTCTAGAAAAGAATCCGTACAATCATTGAACTACATTGTCTACTCAGTCCAGTTCAGTTCAGTTTACTGACCAATACAATACAATAGCCCCCAGTACACTATCTTCTAACCAGCTTCATACCCGTCGGGATTGCATGTGATCGGACCATAGTCGGACCATATATCCTCGTTGAAAAGTGTGAATTGCCCAATCATCATCACCGTTGTCCACTGCGTCGTTCAACAGGGATAAGATGACTACTAACCCGAAAACATGTTAGTGGAAGTGAAACTCGACAGAGTTGGAGTACTGCTTAGAAAATCAAACAACGACTTATCAGTTAGGGAGAGGACGAAAACCTAAAACGAAGTTAAACAGCACAAGTAACTGGTAATTTGCAAATGCCCATGCATAAAAAGCAGTAGTTGTATCAACTATTAAGCGAATACGGCCTGGTTCCGGCAAAAGAAGTCTGCAATGCTTCAGAATTACAAATTTGATTGTAAATTGGTATCCGTTTCTTTTAAATCAATTACCTGGTGGATATGATGCGTCCGGAAATTTTCGGATTCCTCCGAGTACATCGTCCCATGCGGACGAAGTAAACTGGAGAAGTTCTGTCTGGTTGACAAGTGATTCACATCCGAGTAGCTACAGATGAAAAAATGTGTTTAATGATCTAATTGGTCGATGTGAAATGAAGTATAAAAAATGCCACAGTTAACCTGCGTAAGAGAAATCCTACCGAACCACGAACATTCTATATATGCTGTTAAAATCAGCATTTTTATCGGTTAGAAATACACTAAAGATTAATAATAATAATAATATTAATAATAATAATAATAATATTAATAATAATAATAATAATAATAATAATAATGTGTTAACTGTTTCCATTTTTATTCATGAGGCTATTGTGTTTGCCAGAATATTACCGAATGTTGTCCCAGGAGACGTTTCCCAACGATTCAAGTCAGGAGACAGATGCTAAACGATACAGGTATTTAGTGGAAGCACCAGAAATGGAAAAGTGTGTTATATTTATAGAGTTGCACACAGCTTAGATTTTTCCCGAATGAAAAAATAGAGTACCGACGGAGCGAATGGTCCGATCAGAGTGNTGCAGTATTCTGTCCCTTAGACTGGATTCTACCAATCCAGTGACATCGAGAAAATACCGGCAATTTTCCACGGTGGCGTGTGGTTCGAATTCAATTCCCATTGACAACGTGGGAATTCAAGAGGAAGATGATGTTTTCACCAATAAGGAACACAAGTAGGCCTGAATTCTGACAATGAAAATGACGGCTAGGATGAGAATGGAAAAAGCGACTTATCAGGTTTTCCTTGGAACTGTGACTACACCTCGGTGTTCAGTTGCTGACTAAACTCTGCAATCAGACTGCAAACATTTCGTCCAAGGCGGAAGTGACATGATCAAGTCGCGGAGACCTGCTGTTCGATGACAGAAACCGGCAACCTAACTACGGGACTTCGAGTGGCGAACCACATAAGGCCCGACTAGGTTGGACTTGGTATTAAACCGGACGACAGTAAAGCTAAATACCGCCAAACTTGGGTGACGTGCTTCAAAACATTTGAGTAACAAATCGCAGGTGAAGTCAGAGAATAGTAAATCCATGGACAAATTAAAACATTTTTTATGACACACTTTCGTATGAAGAACAGTAGACGGGTTGAAACCCATAGTCACGAAGATCGCTCCGTGCATTTCTTCATGCCTCGTCTCCACGTCATCTGTTGACCTCTACGCGATTTTCTCCGGCACGGATTAGCTACAGCAAATAAAGCGCGGTGCGGCAGACGACAGAGGGTATACGCAATACGTGCCCTAGCCAGCGAAGTCTACTAATCTGAATTCGGTACGCTAGCAGGTTTATACCTGACAGACTCCCAAACACATGACGGCTTACCTCCACGTTACTAACCCGTTCGCTCCATCCATCATGGACTAAATTACGTAAACATCGATAATCGAAAACTTACAGTTGACGGATATCTTCTACTCGCAAATTCAGGGTCTCACAACCATAAAGCAGAACTGAACGAACGCTAGCACAATATACACGACTTTTCAACTTCAGTGAGACGTTGCGTCTACGCCAAAGGTGTTTCAGTCCTGCGTATGCTGCTCGAGCCTTAAAAATGCGGGTGGTTATCTCCTTTGCTGCACTACCGTCATTGGTCACGCAACTACCTAAGTAGGAAAAGTAATCCACCACAACTAAATCCCGGCCATTTGGTGTCAGAGTAGGAGTAGACGAAACCCAGTTCTGCAGCATCACTTTGAACTTTGAAGGTGCAAAGCACATACCGAATGTGGCTACTGCACTTGTTAATCTATCAAGTGCACTTTGCCCGTCCTCCATACATTCGAACAGACAGACGATGTCATCGGCGTACTCCAAGTCGCATAGCTTTTCTTCAACTGTCCATTCAATACCTACATACGTTTTGGAGTCCCCTTAGTGCGCTCTCCAGTATTTCGTCTACGACGAAAATGAACGGGAACGGCGAAAGAGGGCACTCTTGACGAACGCCGCTGCTGGTGAAGAACAGCCTACTTAGTTTGTTGTACACTCTTACACGACCAGAGGTATGTGAGTACAGTGACCTCATTAGGTTGACGTACTTCTGGGGCATTCGTTTTCGAAGAAGGCAGCCCATCAGAGCTTCGCGGTGAACTGAGTCGAAGACTCCTTTCAGGTCAAGGAACACTGCGATCGTTGGTCGACATTGGTTGCGACGCCGCTCAAGGAGCTGACGCAACGTAAAAATCTGATCAATACATCCACNCGGTTTGCTGTTCACGGATGTTGGTCTCTCTTAAAGGCGTCGGACGTCGAAGTATAACCGAAGCTAGCACTTTGGTGACGATCGGGATCAAACTTATCCCGCGGTGGTTTTCGCAATCGTTGCGGGATCCTTTCTTAAAAATGGGAACGATCAGTGATTCTCCCCAGGATGAAAGAATGTGCTCTTGCATTCAAATATTGTGCAGTAGGGTAGTAATAGATTACCTATAACTTCTTTATATTGATCTCCTTTTTTTTCTCGAGCCACGCGCAAAGTTGGGTTTTTATTCCGCGCCGGATGCTTCTTC